ATATATAGGTCGGAGCATGGCGGATCAGTGGACTATATATATATATAGCTCCCATAGGAACGATCGGATAATTTAAGAAAAAAAAACTATGAGCAGTAACTAACTCTGAATAGTAAGTAGCTATGAGCACTAATTAACTCTGAACAGTGAGTATCTATGACCAGTAAGTATCTATGACCAGTAAGTAACTATGACCAGGAAATATCTATAGCAGTTACTAACTTTGAACACTAATAAACAATGACTTGCAACTTTTTTAACACAACACATTTCTAAGACGTGGCCGGCAGCAGTCACTTCGTTCCGGGGATGTTAGAACAAGTTGGGAATCATATGCACAGATGTGCGAGATTTGTTTTGGAACAAATTTAAGCTATTTAAATGAAACTATGGAGTTATTTATCTATATAATTTTACTAATATACATATATAGGTCGGAGCATGGCGGATTGGTGGACTATATATATATATAGCTCCCATAGGAACGATCGGATAATTTAAGAAAAAACCTATGAGTAGTAACTAACTCTGAATAGTAAGTAGCTATGATCAGTAAGTAGCTATGAGCATTAATTAACTCTGAACAGTGAGTATCTATGACCAGTAAGTATCTATGACCAGTAAGTAACTATGACCAGGAAATATCTATAGCAGTTACTAACTTTGAACACTAATAAACAATGACTTGCAACTTTTTTAACACAACACATTTCTAAGACGTGGCCGGCAGCAGTCACTTCGTTCCGGGGACGTTAGAACAAGTTGGGAATCATATGCACAGATGTGCGAGATTTGTTTTGGAACAAATTTAAGCTATTTAAATGAAACTATGGAGTTATTTATCTATATAATTTTACTAATATACATATATAGGTCGGAGCATGGCGGATCAGTGGACTATATATATATATAGCTCCCATAGGAACGATCGGATAATTTAAGAAAAAAAAACTATGAGCAGTAACTAACTCTAAATAGTAAGTAGCTATGATCAGTAAGTAGCTATGAGCACTAATTAACTCTGAACAGTGAGTATCTATGACCAGTAAGTATCTATGACCAGTAATTAACTATGTTCAGGAAGTATCTATAGCAAGTACGTAAGTATGTATGATCAGTTACTAACTTTGAACACTAATAAACAATGACTTGCAACTTTTTTAACACAACACATTTCTAAGACGTGGCCGGCAGCAGTCACTTCGTTCCGGGGATGTTAAAACAAGTTGGGAATCATATGTACAGATGTGCGAGATTTGTTTTGGAACAAATTTAAGCTATTTAAATGAAACTATGGAGTTATTTATCTATATAATTTTACTAATATACATATATAGGTCGGAGCATGGCGGATCAGTGGACTATATATATATATAGCTCCCATAGGAACGATCGGATAATTTAAGAAAAAAAAACTATAAGCAGTAACGAACTCTGAATAGTAAGTAGCTATGATCAGTAAGTAGCTATGAGCACTAATTAACTCTGAACAGTGAGTATCTATGACCAGTAACTATCTATGACCAGTAATTAACTATGTTCAGGAAGTATCTATAGCAAGTACGTAAGTATGTATGATCAGTTACTAACTTTGAACACTAATAAACAATGACTTGCAACTTTTTTAACACAACACATTTCTAAGATGTGGCCGGCAGCAGTCACTTCGTTCCGGGGACGTTAAAACAAGTTGGGAATCATATGCACAGATGTGCGAGATTTGTTTTGGAACAAATTTAAGCTATTTAAATGAAACTATGGAGTTATTTATCTATATAATTTACTAATATACATATATAGGTCGGAGCATGGCGGATCAGTGGACTATATATATATATAGCTCCCATAGGAACGATCGGATAGTTTAAGAAAAAAAACTATGAGCAGTAACTAACTCTGAATAGTAAGTAGCTATGATCAGTAAGTAGCTATGAGCACTAATTAACTCTGAACAGTGAGTATCTATGACCAGTAAGTATCTATGACTAGTAAGTAACTATGACCAGGAAATATCTATAGTAGTTACTAACTTTGAACACTAATAAACAATGACTTGCAACTTTTTAAACACAACACATTTCTAAGACGTGGCCGGCAGCAGTCACTTCGTTCCGGGGACGTTAAAACAAGTTGGGAATCATATGCACAGATGTGCGAGATTTGTTTTGGAACAAATTTAAGCTATTTAAATGAAACTATGGAGTTATTTATCTATATAATTTTACTAATATACATATATAGGTCGGAGCATGGCGGATCAGTGGACTATATATATATATAGCTCCCATAGGAACGATCGGATAATTTAAGAAAAAAAAACTATGAGCAGTAACTAACTCTGAATAGTAAGTAGCTATGATCAGTAAGTAGCTATGAGCACTAATTAACTCTGAACAGTGAGTATCTATGACCAGTAAGTATCTATGACCAGTAAGTAACTATGACCAGGAAATATCTATAGCAGTTACTAACTTTGAACACTAATAAACAATGACTTGCAACTTTTTTAACACAACACATTTCTAAGACGTGGCCGGCAGCAGTCACTTCGTTCCGGGGATGTTAGAACAAGTTGGGAATCATATGCACAGATGTGCGAGATTTGTTTTGGAACAAATTTAAGCTATTTAAATGAAACTATGGAGTTATTTATCTATATAATTTTACTAATATACATATATAGGTCGGAGCATGGCGGATTGGTGGACTATATATATATATAGCTCCCATAGGAACGATCGGATAATTTAAGAAAAAACCTATGAGTAGTAACTAACTCTGAATAGTAAGTAGCTATGATCAGTAAGTAGCTATGAGCATTAATTAACTCTGAACAGTGAGTATCTATGACCAGTAAGTATCTATGACCAGTAAGTAACTATGACCAGGAAATATCTATAGCAGTTACTAACTTTGAACACTAATAAACAATGACTTGCAACTTTTTTAACACAACACATTTCTAAGACGTGGCCGGCAGCAGTCACTTCGTTCCGGGGATGTTAGAACAAGTTGGGAATCATATGCACAGATGTGCGAGATTTGTTTTGGAACAAATTCAAAGTAAGCTATTTGAATGGAACTATGGAGTTATTCTTTTATATAATTTTACTAGTATATAAATCGGAGCATGACGATACATTTTCGGCTTGCCGAAGTTAGCTTCCTTTGATGTTTAAAATATTTGTTGGGACAATCAAAGTTTAAAAATCGCGTAACTATGTCAAAAATGCATTAATTTCAATTCGAAAAGTGTTCCTGTGTTAGTTGTTTGGCGCTTAACAAATCTGCATACTAAATTTTACTTTTTAAGATATACACATTTTTTTTTAATTTTTGCACATTTTAACGATGCAACCCTTTAAATTTTTTTTTTAAATTGAAAATGTCTGTTTTGCTACCTGAGATGGCCAAAACCATTCACCTGTTAATGCTGATCAAGAATATATGTTTATGTTTTATAGGGTCGGAAATCCTTCACATAGTTTTAAACTTCGGAATAAAATTATAATAAAATAATATGGCAGAAGCCTGCAAACAACCATCATGCTCTTTAGAAAGGGTATCCACAAACACACACAAGGACAAGAGAACAAGGCAATGCACAACAACGAAACTTCCAACAAAATGTAAAGTGAATACTAATACTAATTACCTAATTATTGTAACAGTCAAAAAACAGAAAATAACATAATAAGTATATATAAAATCTTTTATAAATTACTAAAAAATTACTGTAATTTTTTAGGTTTTAGATTTCTTCATCATCAGCAGACAGCGCGTCGGCTCTGCAATCGCACAAACACACTCACGAGGAGCACCAACGCAAGCACATACACACACACTACCGAGGCGACCATGTGCGTGTGAGTGCGCGAGGTGGTGTCGTCTTTTCATAAACAAAACAACATACATAATGTCCAAATGTTTATTAACAAATCCGGGAACTCATCGTCCCCTTCTTGTCAACGTTGAAAGAACAAAAAAAAAAAAACACAGCTGTTTTCCCGGAGCACGGGAGAGGGGTGCAGATGGATGCGAAATGTGGCCCTGCCCCAATTTCGTCGCAGTCATCGATAACAATTGGGGGAAAGCCCGATAAGCTAAGCGCCCCCCGCAACTGGAATGGATGTTTAGACTGTGGAGAGATCGCTTTTGTAAACACGATACACGAACACTTCCCACAGAATGCGCACAAAAGTAAATAAATACGATTTATCCTTGGGGCAAGACAAGGCAGCCCAGTGGCGGGAGCTAATGTAGGTCATGGAATTTCAAGGGAACAGGTAGCACTTCACTCCATTGCTGATGACCTAATTTTTCGAAAGGGCCTCAACTCCAGCTCGCTCCTTAATGATGTCACATTTCCGTTGCGACTATAATTCCATCCATTGCCATGGGGCTGGCATGGAATTAGGGAAGAAATATACGAAAAAGTGGATCTATTCCAGGGAGATGATCACAAGTTAAATAAAGTAGATATATCTCATTCTAATATTAAGAGACCAATGTGATATAATGATAAATCCCATTTTAAAAATTACAAATTCCGTTTAGGAATCATAATAAAACTAATATGACATACATATTACGTAGAAACATAAATCAGATCAAAAAGATCAGCAGAAAATATCTCCCAGAAAGGGTTACCGAGCTGATAGTATTTCAACTTTAAAACTATTAACATTCGAAAGCTATAATGCCCCTTACAGATATGTTTTTCAGACTTGCTAGTTGACTATTCATAGTCATATTTCAAATCGATCTCAAACTATACAGGACTCATAACAATATATGAAGATTATGACTAATTATGATTAATTAATAGAGAACATCTCTACAAAAGAGGCATCCTGGTAATATTCCAAAAACTATAAAAACATATTCCCAACCGAGTCATGGACAATATTAAAAGATAGTTCTAAAATAAATCGATGATAATGTCACCGTAAGGGAGTTCCCAAGTCAATAGCATCAGTCTTACAATTTAAAGGACTCACCTTTCCGTGGTGGGCTCGGCACAGATCAGCGGCTGTTTCAGCTCGATGGCCTGGCCGTTCTTCTCTTTCAGCTCGCCATTCTCCATGTAGTATTGTACCAGTTCCGGCAGTGTGGCAAACTTTTCACCTGCAATTTTTAAATAGATCGGGAAACCCGATTTCCGGATTAGTAGGGTTAAGATCCCGGGAGTGAGAACCACAAGCGCCTTACCGCCGTAGAGATCAAAGAAGTCGCCATTGTTTTGGATTTTGATGTGGGTCACCTCGTTGCCGCGGCGCACGGAGAGCGTGAAGGCGCCCGGATTCGAGGAGGAGAGGCGGGCGAGGAAGGAGCCGTCGAATCCCTGCTCCTGCAGCAGTTTCTCAGCTTCGATGCCAGATATCGTTGGGTGGAACCATCTGCGGAAAGTACAGATCTTTAGTGGCGAGAGCAGTAGTTCCCTTACTGGTTACCCGCTAGGCGGCGCACACACTATCATCTCAGCGCCAGCGCCACCGCCACTGCCACCGCCCCCGCCCCAGCAACAGCTGTAGGTGTAACAGTTACTACAATTCTCCAGCCGCTGATGCCCGTTGCCATTGCCGTTGCCGTTGCATCCACTCTTTCGCTCACGTTCGGCACTTTATTGCACTTTTTATCTCAACCGTTTTTTTTTTGTTTCTGTTTTTCTTTTTTTTCGCTCTGCCATTGCTTTTGTATCTACTTATACATATGTAAATAGCCCAGTTGGGAGCGTGTGCCAGTGTATGTGTTGGGTGGCGGTCGGCCAAAGGGGACGGGCGGGGGAACGTGTGTACATATGTGCCACACATACGCACGCACAGCCTGCTGTGTCGCGCGTGTGTTTCTACGGGTAAATTGTCGAATTTCCTATTGGATTTACCTTCGCGATGACATTTTCTTATTGAATGCACACTTAAAAAATAAATAATGATTACACTTAACGGAAAAAAATGAAACTTATGTGTAGATGCTTTGTGAATTAGTGGTGGCAATACATCGGAGCACTATCGATACTATCGATGTTTGGATATTGTTTTCAAAATCGACTGTTTGCACCATCGATGTTTTCAACATGTCGCTACGACAGTGTTGCCAGCTTAGCCTAGGTCAGGCTGTATCTGGTATATTTGGCAATGGAAAAGTTTTTAATGTTTGCAACTAGCTTATAGCGTTAAAAAGCTTTTATTTAAATACTTATTTACCAAGTTCTTGCAACCTGGCAACACCGAAAACAATTTACTAAAGGTATTCTATATCGATTGCAAGGCACATGTAATAGATTGCAACTATCGAGTATTCTGAGTTCTGCAGCTGTTAATGTTAACTGTGATAGATGTAAAGTGTGGCAGCGCCAACGATAATTGATAACAATGTTTTGTCCAGAAGTATTGAAATTTCTGGTTTAAACAATAAGGTTATTTTCGATTTGTTTTACTCATTATTTTATGAGTGACCGTAGTAGACCAGCTGAAAATACCACCAAGGTATAATATACCAGAATCAACCGATGTAGGTTCAAAACATGTGGCAACACTTCTGTTACTAAATTTCCGTTAAAATTAAAGTTATGGTAAAGGAAATGCTGAAATCGTGTTTAGCTTCGCATCTCTCCCGAATAATACCCATGTAAGACCCGGAATAGATGGTTTTTCTTCTTTTTATTCAAGCAATTTAAAAGTTTTGTCGGTTTGTCCATTTTGTTTTGTATATAGCGCATTGCATTGCGTGTATACATAGAACTATGTATTTACTTTGTGTTTTCTTGTTCTTCTCTTTTACTAATTTGTCAATTTATCAAATAAATATATAATTTCCATTCTAGGCTTGTCGTGGGCATCGACGTTTTATGTTTTGGTTTCTCATTCGACATTAACATGGACTCTTCAAATAATTTACAAATACACATACAATTATTGGATGCCTTTTAATTTTTTTTTTTTTTGTTATCATATTATATGATTTATATAGCCTTTGTTTTGTTTTTTGCTTTACTTTGCAGAGACCTAAAAAAGAGTCATATTCCATTTAAAGTTTTGCGGTAAATACGTTGTATCATTTGGTTTTTATAAAGCGCGACCATATCGATATACTTTATATTCGTATAATATGGAATCGTAAACATTAATGCATCTCTCTTGACATATATTTTATCTGGTTTTTTAGGTATGCTCGCATATTGTTTACTAACAAAGGTACCTAAGATTTGCATTAGATGTGATTTAAATATCCTTTATTCTCCTTGGCTCCTTAGCTTCCTTCCTTTCCTTTTGTTTTCTTTTTGTTTTTGTGGTGTGAGATGTGAAACATGATATATGTAAGAGTGGTTCGATTTGGACTTGACTGGATGCAATTGTCATATATATATATTTTTTTTTATATATGTGTATGCAGGTTTACCTTAATTTTGTTTCTTATTCTTATTATTTATTTCTTTTTTTCGATTTGTAAGTGTAGGTGTGACTGTAGCTTATAAAATAAAGAAAATATATTAATTTATTGTTAATAATCATAATAAAAAGAAGAGCAACTGTGCGACTGACTGCATTTTTTGTTTTTGTTTTTTTTTTAGAATTTTTTTGTTGTATATATTTTTATTATTTTTATATAGTTATAATTAATTGTATTTATGCTTGTTTTGGTAAAAGTAAATAACACAGCGTTTTCTATGCAAATTAAAATTACACTTATGTTTCCAGCAATTACATTTGACAAAACATTTTAAAAAACAGAACGCATTTTATGGCCTCGATTAAAAAAAAGTAAACAATAAAAAAACAATAAAACTCCGTAAATTACTGTGACGAAACTTAGAGCGGATTTGGATCCTGACATTGTTCCCCTCCGCCTTCAAGGGCGCGAGAGTTCCGACGCGGAACACATTTGGAAACGGCGGCAGGCGGATTCTTACAATCAAGTCATATTTAATATATATTACACACAAGTTACATATTGTACAAACTATGGATTGGCTGCCAAACATAATGCAAGCAGTAAATTGGCCCGATCCTGGCTAGCGATCAAGCGTCTCAAGATGACACACATAGCGTATATGTATATATTAAGCTTAGTTGGAGTCGGCTTTAGAGTTAAACGTCTTCCTCGATTGCCTTCGATTCGACTTATTGGTAGAGATACATAGGCGGAGAAGTGAGTATTATTGCCATGGGAGGACTGGCTACAATGAGCTATAACTATAGCGCTCTCTCCATAAATATTTCGTTAGATATATGTTTTATGTGTCTATATAATATGTGTTACATGTATATATTTTATTGCATATTTGTTCTATCGGGTCTGCCAATGGATTTGAAAGCAATCAGCTCTACCAAACGAGCCCGCGCCTGTGCTAAATCTTCTCCTGCTCGAGTCCCCTCAAGCCAAAGGGGAGAAGTAACACGGATTGCATTTAAATAATAACATAAAGTACGACCTATAATATTTAAGTTAAGTGTATGTTGTGTGTGTGGTGTGTTGTGTTGTGTTGTGTGTATATGCACGTTGTATATAGATGCACGGTATAATTGTATATAAACACAGACAGAGAGATAGAGCGATAATAGCTGGGATTCCTCGGCGACTATGGCTGAAATGCTGGCGCTTATGTGGGGCACAGCACCTTCAGTATGTAGTCCGTGAGGAGGGCGGGCACTGTGGGGCTGTCCTCGTTAATGGCCTTGAGAACTGACACCAGAATAGGTATGTTACAGGTCAAATAAACAGAATCATATAATCCGATACTCACTTTTGATCAGGACCTGCAGTGACTGATTATTGGGCGTGCCGTTCTCCAGGTGATACGGAATGACAGTGGTCAAGTACTTGGGCTCTGGACCTGCGTAAGCGAAATTAATGGCATTAATGCTTAGCAATCCCTTAAGTTTTGGTCTATGCGATGAGTTTACCTTGGAACTTGCCGCGCTTCTTCTCTACGTGATACTGACGCCGTTTATTCTGGACAGCGAGGAGCAGTGAGATGAACGAGTTCTTCAGCTCCTTCTCGAACTCCAGCTCGTCACGCAGGGCCAGCTCATTGATGAGCGTCTCGCTCAGCTCCTGGATCAGCACCTCCATCTCCATGTACAGCTCGTTCAGCTGTGTCGTGGTCAGATATTGCAGTTCTGCAAAGAGAGTTTTGTAGATTCGATGAGCAATTTATTATACAATATAAATTCGTAATATTTTTATTAAATTTCGAAACGAAAACTTACTTTCCGCATAGAGTGGCGCTCCAAGAACCTCTCGCGCCTTCTCAATGACCTCCGACTCACAGGTCTCTGGCTCGTCCAGCGGGCTCTCTGCCTCATCCATAATGTCGTCAATTTCCTTGATCACCTCCTCGACGGTCTTGATGGGCTGGTCGTCAAGATCGTTGTTTAGACCGTTCAGGATCAGGGCATGCATATCCAGATCATTGGCCACCGCTTCATCCTCACTGGTCAAATCGTTGAACTCATCTCCTGGTGTCTGGGCATCCAGGCCCGATCCCGATCCCGAACCCGAACCGTTGCTCTGTGAATTCGCCTGGTGGCTCTGATGGAGCAGCTGCTGCTGCTGGTTTCGTGCCTGCTGCTGCTGCTTAGTGTGGCTCTGGCCCAGGTTCAATGTGGGCATGTGCATCTGACGGGTGTACGACTTGGACCAGTCAATGGGCAGTATATTGCCAAAGTTGCCCGTGATGGTCCACCACATTCTAAAAAGAAATTGATTGTAAATAATTATAATAATGTCATTAAAATGTAAGTAATTAAAAGAGAGAGGAAGTACTAAGAGCTGAGTGTAACCTTGTGAGCATAGAGAGCGGTTGAAGGGTTTTTCAAATGCATTTTAATAATAAATAAACTATTAAGCTCACAACCAAATATATCGATAAATTAAAGTATCATATTAATTTTAAACGAAGGTGTATGCTTTGCTTCCCTTAAGATTAACGCCCCAAGTGAAAGAAATGCCATCTACTATTTGGAGAGCCCTGACAGCCGGTAATGAGTTTCTTTTTCCTTTCAACGATGTGCATTCTTGGCATAGCTCTTGGCACCTCCACCCCCTCTCTCTCTCTCTCCGTTACATCAGTTTTCCGGCCTAGGAAAATGCTCATTGGGAGCATGCACTTTTGCCCACCCACCCACAAACCCCGAGTGCCTACACTTATTGGGCAAAAAGGAAAGAAAGAATGAAGAAATATATGTGGGAAATAACTGGCACAATAAACTGCAAAGTGCGGCAAAGAGGCAGTGCATGCTTTTAAAGCTACTGACTAATTGCCCGATTCTACGATTCGCTGCCGCCGCCGATTCTCCCCGAGATAATGATGGGGCAAGCCCACAGTTGCAACTCAGAGATTGGGGCAACAAATGTCAATGGGCAAGTTCCGCATAAATGTACAGTAAAGCCTTCAAAAGAGCACCTCCTTTTCATAGAACAAAAGGAAATCTGCAGTGGGGTTTTTTATTCTTGGAAATACACTATAAGATATGCAACTTTAACAACTCTGAGACCAAGTCTCTTGGAGTTATTCGAATTCTTTCCCACTGAGTATTCACAGTACAGACAGTTGCCTTTGGCAATGGGCCCACATTAATGTCGGAAGAGTTTGTCTCACAGACAGTTTGTCTGTTCCGTCGAGTTTGCTGGCACATTTGCTATCAAATTTCATGATCATTGCCAATCATTTAATTGCCCCACGACCACCTCCACTTCAGCTTCTCGGTGGATTTGCCCCATAATTATTCATGCTCTACATTACCCGGCAATTGACTGCACTTTGTCGATTACCCAAAGATGAGTCACTGGAATGGAGATATTTATGATGAGGAAATGCTAGTAATTGTGCATTCTTGGGAGGAGAAGAGAAAGAGCCAAGTCTCTTGGGTAATGTAACCAAGAAAAGGTAACTTCAATTACCTAATAAAAATAGAGAGAGTTTGATGAGAAGGTTTAAGATTGTCATGACTTGTTGGAAAATGAATATCCAACTCCAATTAATTATAACTTATTAAATTAGAGGTTCTTTAAAGAGCATATTTAAAGCTTAAGCTCCTTAAAGTTCCCCCTTAAAAACTCTGCACTAAATAGGTGAAATATATTTAGGAATGTTATGCTTTATATTAACTATTTTTAAGACAACCCTTCAGCATGTGAACTTCCGCTAACTAATCCCTCGCACACAGCATAAATGTTGTAGAAAATAATAGACAAAATATTTTGTACGACAAACAGCGAATATTTATTTTTAAATTCAAAAATTCCACTCATCATCATTTCGTTTAGTTGTTGTTGTTTCCCTGGAATCGAATTAAAATGGTCCAGCTTGCGCTGTACAAAAATTTACAAAATAAAATAGCAGCCATAAGATGCAACGAAGCGGCTGAAGAATTTGTTGTTGTTGTGCGGAAAATACTAAAGATTCAAATAAAAAAAAAAACAAAAATATACACAATAAAAACAAAGAGAGAAAAATAAATAAAAGCAAGAAAACAGCAGAGGAAAATGAAAACTGAAAAGATGAAAAATGTGCGAAACAAGCAGAGCGAATAAATTGTTCGTGACAACACGCGGGGGGAAAGATGATGACCCAAAGGGGGCGACTGTGTCAGGTAAATGAGTGTATCCACACTTACAGTGCGTTTCATGAATGTAGGGTAATACAGAGAAACCATTTAGTAGATGGAAATATGGAAAATTGTAAAGTAAATCATTAAAAACGCTTGCCAAGTAATTCCTAGAGTAAACAAATGGGCTCCAGCTACAGCTCTCTCCCTCTCCCTCTCCCTCTAGCTCTAGCGCTAGCGCTAGCTCTAGCTCGCTCCCTCTCCCTCTTACTCATTTGGGGTGCCTCTTCGCTGCCTATCTCTGGAGAAGGCTCTTTCCCTCTCGCTCTCAATTTCTCTCGGGAAGTATAAATAGAGGCACTGGAGTCGCGCGCGATTCAGTCTGTCCTAGGGGTACCTAGCGTCAACATCTATGGTGAAAGTGATAGTGATGGTGCAATTCGACTCCAAGAGGACGACGTGACCTATGGAATGGATATGGATAACCAGGAGGAGGCCCACTTGTTTACATCTCTGGTGACAATGATGGTGCACTTTGACTCCAAGAGGATGACTTGGCCCATGCAATGGATATGGATACGGATTACCAGGAGGAGGCGCACTTGATGGCGATAGTGATACTGCACTTGGACTCCAAGAGGATCACGTGGCCTATGGAATGGATATGGATTACCAGGAGGAGGCCCACTTGTTTACATGTCTGGTGATAATGATAGTGCACTTCGACTCCAAAAGTATGACGTGGCCTATGCAATGGATACGGATAACCAGGAAGAGGCTCACATGGATGATACCAGGAATATAACACTGCACTACCCAATGACGAAAGCGGATAACCATGTGTCCTCCACTGGGGTAAGTCCTAACCATGATTACTATATTATGTAGATAGATCATTTACGAGGGATCAGTTTTAGGCTTAGAATCAGTAGTGCTAGCTATGCATTTGTTTTCCAATCAATTCCCCTAAAGTGACTTAGCGATTTGTATTAATGATATCTACTCAAAGTTAACAACCTTAGTTTTTTATAATTTGCTCACAAATATTAATTTCTTAGCACTATTTTGCCACTTATGCTATATTATTATATATCCTTTTAGGGTATTATAATTTCAATCAGAAGCTTATAACTTAGTTGCTCACAAATATAAATTTCTTAGCACTATTTTGCTACTTTTGCTATATTATTATATACCCTTTTAGGGTATTATAATTTCAGTCAGAAGCTTTTAACTTAGTGAAGGAGCCATTTCCGACCCTATAAATCATATATATTCTTGATCAGCATTAACAGCCAAATCGATCTAGCCATGTCTGGTTAAAAAATAATTTTTTTGTAATTTTTTCAAAATTTGGAAAATTTTATAAGGGGTACCATCGTTAAAATTCTTAAAAATAGACAAAAATTTTAAACTTTTTAAATTTAAAAACTTAATATGCAGAATTGTTAACTTTATAAAAACTAACACAAAACAGCTATCGGAATTTAAATTAATGCATTTTTGGCGTAGTTATGATGTTTAAAAAACTGTGATTTCCACATAAAATTAGCATATAAAAATATCAATTAAATATATATATCTAGAAACACAAAAATATTAGGTTTGCCAAAGATCATATATACTATTTGCAAACAAAATTTGATTAAATAAAACCTTATTTATACATTTCTAAGGAGTTTAGTATTAAAATTCAAATCTTTTCTTACAAATAATTTCAGATATCGAAAAATATGGAATATTGAACTACAAATACACCTTATTCAGACAGATAATGCTCCGAATCGTTAAGAAATTTATTACCCAAAATATACCCATATTTGTTGGCCTTATCAAATGGTATGAAACGCACTGTCCCCACCAGCGAATACACAACGTACCAGTATGGGAAACTTGCCTAGTGCAGGGGCTGGCTGTATGCTGTATCTCGGTTCGGTTTGTGTCGAGGCCGCTATATAATTTATATACATATGTACATACATGTTTCATTGAATACTAAATGCGAGTCTCTGCGATGATGTGGGCAACACTTTTGGGTGCGTACAATGACGGGAGATGGAAACGGAGATGGAGGAGGAGGAGGAGGAGGCGGTGGACGCACACATTACGGATGAATATTTAAACTGCCATCAGAAGAGCAACTAATTACGCGTCGCAACTCTTTTTGTTTTTATTTACTTGTTATTTTTTGTTTATAGTTGAGAGTTAATCTAACTCGGAAATGGTCTTGCATCAAGTGGCATGATACGCACTCAAATTGACACATCAGTATAGTGCGGGGGAAATTTGGGTCACATTTCCCTGGTGTAAAGTGTTGATAGTTTTTCTATGGGGTTGGGGATTGGACATTTTTCTAAAATTATTATGAGATGGGATTTAATATATTATATTGAGTGCCCTTGGGGTACAATGGTAAATAATATAAGATCAGCATCATCAGACCCATCGATATAGCCATGTCCGTCAGTCTGTCCGTTTAAAATAACAAAATTATGAGTCTGTAAAAGCTATAACTACCAAATTTGATGACAACATTCATAGGTCTTAAACGCAGAGAAAAGTTTGTTTTCAAATTCGGCCTTGCCCATTTCCGCCCTCAGAAATCGTTAAAAACCATAACTAAGAAATAATAGTTCATTTTCATTTAGAGTAAAACATTTTTATAGATTAATAGCGGTCATTTTCTGAAAGTTTGAGCAAAATCGGTTAACAAACATGGGACTTAATAGACTTTGTGTGTAGGTTGAACATTTGCAACATCTACCTTTGTGTTGCAAGCATTTTCCTAGCAACATTTGTTTTATTTGGTTGTTTTGCAATATGTTCCTACCAATTATCAATGTTTTCTTTTGCCTTTCAAACTGTTTGATTTAAGTTTTTCATAAGTTTTAGTATAAATAAGTTAATTTATAGGTTCCTTCTAATTTCACTCACATTGCTTAGGGTATCGGGTATCTGAGAGTCGATCGTATTCGAATGTACCTTTCTTATTCCTTTTAAAGGATATGCTTCTTGCTATAAACCTTTATACCAAACACCCTCCATGAAAATAATATTGATTTGTTAAATAAATGAATTATGAACTATTATTTGTTCATAATTGAAGTGCACTCTTGTCTATTAATTTCTTTAGAAATTACAG